AAATTTTTTGGCCGAGAGAAAAGTTCTTGTCCCGGCCCCACCACCCTTCGGGGGGGTATAAAAGCTGGGTTCCGTTACTTAAGGGTTTACGGGTGGGATTGGGAAAAAAGGAAAAAAAAAAACCCTTTTTTTTTTAATAGATTAATTTAATACCCTCGGAAAGGTTTTTTTTTGGCCAGGAAAGACTTCTCGGGGGATGAACCCCTTTTTTTTACCCAGTGCCCCGGGAAAAAAAGGACCAGAAAAACCCCCCCAGCGCCAAGATCCACCAAAAAGGGACATTTTGGCCACCAGGGGTTCCCCTTCCCAAACGTTTTTGGTGGGGGAGGGGTTTTTATTTTTCCAGGGGGGGGCACCAGGGCCCATTGCCTTTGGGGGAAAAGCTCAATTCCAGGGCCTTCCAAAGGGAGGGCCCCCCGCCAATTTTGCTTTGTTACCATTCCCGGGGAGGGGGAGGGGGACCCGCCGTTCAAACCAGCCCCGGGGGGGGGGGGGGGGGGGGCGAAGAGGCACATGTGGCAAACGAGAAAAAAGTCTGCCAGATGATACGTCTGCGACAGGGACCACTACGTCAGTGAATGCCCGAAACGGCTTTGCCAGAAGTGCGGAGGAACAGGGCACAATTTGGAGCGCTGCCCGCCCACAGCAAAGAGTGAGGCTGCCGTGTGCGCAATCGAAGTTGGTGATGCCGAGTTCGACAATGCCCAAGACAGGTCGAACTCGACACCACCAACTTCGATTGCGCACACGGCGGTCTCACGCTGTTCAGTCGGTCGGGGCGAGTTTCAAATTGTACCCTGTTCCTCCGCACATCTGGCATACATGTAGCCGTTTTGGGAATTCACTGACACAGCAGGTATCCCCTGTCGCAAGATGTAAAACATCTGGCAGACTTTTTCTCGTTTGCCACGTGTGCCTCTTCGTCCCCCCCCCGGATCTGTTTCGATCGTCGTTTTCCTCTCCCCTTCCCCGCTACTGCCAATAACGCCATGTCGCGTTCGCTCCCCCCTCGCTCTTCCCCTTCGTCTCCTCGGCTCGCAGGTACCCAGCCCTAGCACGCCACACCCTCATCATCCAATCCACATCCAGATCTTTACCGGCTGAGCAAAAGTTGCACTTGAGAGACAGAGCGTCAAGGAATCGTGCGAGGACAAGCATCTTGGGGGTGGGACGGTCAAGGCTAGACACTGCTGTGGACATGAGCTGCTGAAAGAACACGCGGGGATCCAGGTCTTTCTCTTTCTGAAGAGCGACTTTCCGACCGGTGAGACTACAGTATCTGCTCGCCGTCGGACAACGTCTGCTCAAAAGCGCACGCCATGCCGCGGAGGCCTTTGCTATTGTACACCACGTTCTTGGTGGTTTTATCAGAGATCGCTCGCTCCTTTTAACCTACCTTCGGATCCCGATAAACGACAATATCCTCTACCACTACTCCCCGTCCCCTCATCACCCATTCCGTGCACCACAGTATCTCTCCAAAACATGCAAAACACACACCTTCAAAAGATTGGTTTGGGTCTGACGCTTGTCGTTCCTCGTGCATGCATGGGTACATGCAGCTATCCCTTTCCCGAAGGCCGGTCTGTCTCACCTAGTCCTGCGCGACGAACGGTCTCGCGAGTCCGAGCGTGAACGGCCCCTGCCGCCACCGCCGCCCCTGTCTCTGCTGTCCCGCCTTCCGCTGTCCCTCGACCTTCCACTGCCACGATCTCTGTCCCGCGAGTTTCGCCTGTGCCTCCCGTCCCTTTTTTTGTGCCATTTTGGTATTGTGGAAGGATTCAGCCGGGCAGGGCGGCAACCAAACATAGCTAGGATAAGTGGTGGCCCGTGTGGATGGGGATCAAGAATCCACAGACGCTCCTGGTTGCTGAGCCAGGAACGAGCATTGGTCGACGATCCACTACCCAGGTGCCACAGCGATAGCTTGACCAGCCTATATACACACACATCCTGCAGACACGTGCAGTTTTCTTCATTATCTACACTTTTCCATCTTTACTCCGGAGAGTAGTTTGGCCTCTGCTGCCATGACGCCCCCCGCCTTTGGAAGCGTTTTCTGCTTTCGGCTACACTGAGACTGACGCATTTCATTGGTCAGCCGGTTAGCGCGGGCGGTGCTTATAAACACACGCACGGACTTCATTTCACTGGTCAGCCGGGAAGCGCCGTCGATACCACTTAAGAAAAAAAAACACACACACACACTCAGATCATGACCTATGGAAGCATTTTGTGTCCTCCATCGCACTAAAACTGACGTCTTTTCATTGGCCAGCCGGTTACCGCGGTCGATGCTAATAGTAAACACACACACACACACACACACACACACACACACAATACCTACACACGCATGCCCCCCCCCAACCAACCTGCTTCGGCTCCGGCTGCGCCGGCGATCCTTGTTCCTGGCGCGGTCCCGGTCTCGGTCCCGGTCCCGATCCCTGCTGCCGTCCCTGCCGCCTCCCCTGTCTCTCCCTCCTCCTCTGCTGTCTCTGTCTCTCTCCCTATCCTTGGCATCGCGGTCACGATCACGATCACGATCCCGGCTACCTCCTCGAGCCTTGCTGCGGCTGCGGCTGTCGCTCCTTCATGGGGGGAACGGAAAACACAAAAAAAGGAAACCAGGTTTGAACGGGTGTCTGTCAGTCAAGGCCAATGGTCGACGAGGCGCAAAGGGTACGTAGCCGACTAGGCATGTACCAGGTATGTACCCTCAGCTGAACTTGATAAACTCATGCGGACCGACAAGCCTCGCGTGTACATCATGCGTACGTAGAGCTTGTGACCAAATGCTATGCATGGTGAGCACATGTCTGGAAGGGAAGCGAATCTAAAACATGGGAGGACCGGGGCCATGGGCGATGGCGCGGAGAAACTTTCGTCGTCGCCGTGACATCGGTATTTCATCACAAGCAGCAGCAGCAGCAGCAGCAAGCAGCAAGCAGCAGCTGATGCATTGCTAATCTATCCCAGAGACTCATATCTGTGGAAGAGATGCTTCAGGCATCGTAAAAAAAAAATTCTGACCCCCATATCCCACCGTCGACAAGCCCTCACCTTTGCTTCAAAACAGAAAAGAACCACAACAACAAAAGGATTCTTCCAGAGTGTACCCGCTCTGCCGTACGTGCCGTGGATCGTACCATGTGGCAGACAAAGAATCCAGATCACACGGATACCTGGCACACGTCCACCCCCGGTCGGCACCCAGATCAACCCCCCCCCCTCACCTGCTCCGTTTACGGTCCGATCTGCCGTCCCCCTTGCCTCCGCCACCGCTCTTGTGGTCCCCTCTCTCCGACCCCTTCCCCCCCCCGCCGCTGCCGCTACCCCGCGTGGGGCTTTTGTCGGTCTTCGCCTGCAGCATGATGGAGCCCAGGCGAACAAGTTCCTGGTTGCCGTACTCCGGGAAGGTCACCAAGTATCGGTTGTCCTCCTGTTGAGAAAGTGAGCGTTGACAAAGCACGGACGGACGGAATGGCACACATGAAAACGAGGCGGCGTGTTCGGAGACGCGGCGTTGAGGAAGGGAAGGTCACCCAGTAACGGTTGTCCTGCCGTGAAAAATGAGAGTTAACCAAGCAACAGCAGTGGCGTGTAGTCGCGTCGCGGCAAGCACGGATGGCGCCGCAAGCTTGTTGGCTTAGACTCGAGTTCTTGCAGATTTGTCTTATTCGCATAAAAAACGAGGAGGCGTGTTCGGCAAGGCGTTGAGGGAGGGGAAGACCGCCCAGTAACACCGTTGTCTTCCTGAAGCGAAAAGTTACACAGCAGTCGCGTAGGCAGCGCAAGTACGGACAGAAGACACGACACACCACCACAAGATGTGTAGGAAGGGTCATTGGCAAGAGGACAAGGTAAGTCATGGAGGTGGTCCACAATCAAAACTACGATGGCGGGGAGGGTGGGGGTGCAAGATGTCGATGCCCTAATCGAAAAAGATTCGTCCTGTTCCAAGAAATGCACCGCTACCACCGACACCGATCTCGTAGGGGGTAAATGAACGCAAGGGCGAACAAGGGAACATTGGCATGACGAGAGCCGATGATGACAACACGTGCATTTGCTCTGCTAGAGAGCGATACACAAGAAGATGGCGACGGGCGCGGATGTGTTTTCAAAGGCAGCAATTGTCCTGCCAGGTCACGGAAAGGCTACCCTGTAATACTGCTGTATCACCGACAAGGAATGGGGGGCTAGATGATATCCTGGAAGAAGCAGAGTTCTACGGAGATGTGGATTGATTGATTGATTGCCTGGAAGCAGCAGAGATCTACGGCTACGTCGATTGCCTGCAAGAAGCAGAGTTCTACGGAGCTGTGGATTGACTGATTGATCGCCTCGAACAAGCAACTTCTTCGGAGATGTGCACTGATTCGTTTGCCCGGAATAAGCAGGTTCCACCAAGATGTGGATTTTATCGAATGATTGCCTGGAAGAAGCAGAGACTTCTACGGAGATTTCACCCACTCACCTCGACGCTGTTGATGACGGCGTCGTACCAAGAAGGGTCGTTCTCCTCGTCCGCGTAGATGGCTCGGACCTTCGTGCCAGGCTTGAGGAGGTTCACGATTCGGAAGTTAGCCTTCTCCCTCTTCTTCATCTCCTGCTCATCGTTGGTACGGAGGTGTTCTTGGCTTAGGCCGCAATGGCAGGTGCTAGTGAAACAGTGCTGGATTGTTGGCTTTTAATGCTGCACAAATAAGCCAAGCCAATGAAAATGTCACGATGGCGGGTGCCAGAACAGCGAAAGAGTGCTTGGGCTGTTGGCAAAAAAGCCAGGCCAACGAATATGCCGCGCTATCGAATCGAGAACGCGATGCTCGGAGGGAAGAACAACAATAACAATACGTAAGACGATCAGATGTCGCCTGACCGTCACAGAGGTCTCCAGACTATGCCTACGACGTTCAACCAAGGACAGTGACAGGGGGGCAGAACCGGGAAGTTGAAACATCCGCTCAGTATGGCCGAAGTGATGAAAGAGCGCAAAACACCTTCAAAGAGACGCACATGAAAACCGTTCTCCTGCTGCAACTAGACAGCGTTGCCATACCGTTTGTGGTGCGAAACAATGCCATGGCAATTGAACTACGGCAGGAAACAAGAAAAGGTCTTGGTGTGTAAACCGAGGGAGGGCATCGCACCCACCCACCCACGCAGTGAAGACCTTCAACTCGCAGGCTTCGCTAGAGAAGCACTCATGGGTACATGCATACCTTTCCGTTTCTTCTACACGCCACATCGCCGGACAAACAACAGGATGTTCGAAGCAAACGCATCGACCACAGTCGCTCTCGACTGTTCTGTCAAAGTCATCAACAAACCGTCACGAAGGTATACATACTACGGCAGGCGGAAACGGACCCACCCACCTCGTGTAGCAGCAGCTGAACCTTCATCTTCCTCTCGATCAGCACCGGGATGCGAGGGAGCATGGTCCCGTAGTACTGCATGTCACTGCAACACAACGGGGGGAACACGAAACGAAGTGTACGCGTAAGGTCGAGTGGGCCAAGGTGCAGAGGGAGAGACGTGAATCAATCACCAGCGGGTTGTGGGACACAGATCCTAGAAAAATACGGAGGGGGAGTACTCATAGTCGTGCATGCCGTAGTCGTTAGACCATTGAGGCGCGGGGGACCCATGAAATCGTTGCCGTTATCACCTGATGATCTTGCGGACCCACTTGCCCATGGTCATACTCCCTTCCGTAGGGGACGGCTTGAACTTTTTTTCGTCGTCCATGTACGGCTCCAGCCACCCCCAAAGCTCCTGCGATCGACCAAGCGCGTGGGAGCGGCAGGGAAAAAACGAACTCACGTTAACCAACAACACACCCAAACATCCCCCCATCGTCACGCCTACAGGTGCCGCAATCAGCAACAGCAGAACTTGGTGGGAGTGTGGGGGGGGGGGTAACGACCTCCAATACAAAACACGGAGCCCCCGACCATTACAAGAACGAGGAAGTGGACAACAAAACATCAACAGCACTCCCGCTCGGCCGGCGAGTGCGGCGACCAAAAAAGAGCGGCAGAACAGACACAACGACAATGAGAGAGCAGCGATACAAAAGAGACCAACGACAACAAGAGAGCAACGCAGCCGCGGCCGACCGTACCTGCCATGAACCCAACAAACAACAAACAACGACGCTTAAACAAGAATAAGAAAGACAGGCTCGTTCATCCACGCTCCCGGCGACGTCCCTAGTCCGGGAACTCTACACCAG